CTCTACCCTTCAGTTTTTTCTGGTTTTGTTACGGCCTTCGATCGCGGTACAAGTGACAAGATACAAGTTTTCGCGGGACAAAATCAGGGGGCGGGGGATATAACCCTGTCCACCACCACTCTATACCGAGCGCAGAATGTATAATGTCGGGGTCATTGCCCGAACGATCTTTGGGGGTTCCACCATGCCTGGAACGAGGGTGAGGCACCTCGGAATACTGGGCAGAGATATCGACCACTTTCCCCCGAAAGCTGAAATTGTGCAACGATGGAAATTAAACATCCGTTGTGTACGCGCGCGTGCCACGATGGATATTTAATTCGTGAAACGGAAAATCGGAGAAGGAGAAGATGGAAAGACCCGACTACTCACGTGTCTTTCCATTTTCGCATGTATATCTTATTCCGTTTTAGATATCAATGTGACCTTGAGTTTTTTCAAGGTCAATGTATCTTTTTTTATAATACCACGTTGTTGCTAGTAGAAGGCCGAATTCAACCACCTATAGCATGATGGTATTAAAAGAAAGATGCAAGGACCTTGAAAACACTCAAGGTCACCTTGATATTTAAAAAAAATAAGATATAATGAAATCAAATTGTATCCACCAGGATACAACGGTAAAAATGTTCTCGACCAGTTGACGAATGTCAATGATTCGCTAACTGTTCCCCCGAAAATATTCAAAATTTCCCTCTCGTCGAGGCACACGCCTCACGTTGGGAAGCACTGGTCCAGATATAATGAATTTGCCCGTGTCTGCTCGTAGATCCCGCTAAAAACAAGACCAATAAAAAGCACGAGACGCGTTACTACCTGTCAACGATGTACAGACAAGAAATTACCTCGTCAGACATGCACTGTCGTTTACGACTATTAGAACACCCTGGTCTGTACAAAGAAAACATGATTTTCCATAAATATTATACACTTTGGGCTACGTCAACTACTTTTACATTAACACAACACACTTATCCATCGGGCATGAACATTTCTCAGACAATATTTCTTCCAGACCTACAACAATATCGCAATTTCAGTTTACTTCATTTACAGATAAACGTCCTAATACCTACGAACGGAAGTGTATAAATACCCTAACTTTCACATCCCCCTAAACGGACATACATATATATTCACCGGGATTCAATCAACAAGGCCGCCCCATCCGATCTATTTAATTTATCGTTCATTGTTTTTCCATTCGAAAAGAAGGGGGCGGTGCATCATGCGCTCTTTCCACGTGATCCCATCCAAAGAGTCCCACCGGTCTCCGTCAACAAATCCTCCGCAGATCGCAAGATTAATCGATGCAGGTCCGCGTCCATCGGCCCTGTCTGCGGACACACGGAGGCCGAGGATGAGGTATATAAGGACAAGGTTCGATCCTTTCGTCATGGGCAGGGGGGTGGGGGGCGACGGAAGGAGTAGGAGGAAGAGGATGATTCGAGGAGTGTCTTCTCTCTTCGGTTGAGGGGAGGGTAGAGAGCACACACACACACACAGGGAGGGATAAGGGTTGTTCGACGGGTGGCTATGCCTTTTGGGGCAGTGGCCCTTGCTGCGATGCCTCCGAGGGTGAGTGAGAGGGAGGGGGGGCAGACGAGAGAGGACCTACGCGTTATTGAGCGGGCATTTCCCACAAAGCGCAGACGAGGGCAACCACCCCGTGTAGCGCGCTGCGGCGCGCAGAGTTCTATGCTCTCTCTCTCTTCTTCCTCTCCTTCTCTTGCGTCACTCTTTCTCCCTACCTCTCTTGCTCTCGCACTCTCTCTCTCTCTCTCTCTCTCTCTCTCTCTCTCTTCAACCCTCTCCAATTTCTCCCTTTTCCACCCTTTGCCACGATCTCTGTCTACCTCTGCAACTCGCCTCCCCTTCCGATTTTTTATCTTTTTCTGTCGCCTTCCTTTTCCCGTGGACCCTCTTTCTCCCAGAGTCTCGTTCTCCACATCATTTCTGCATCCTCTTTCCGCCCCAGCGTAGACACACATAGAGGAAGTGAGAGAGAGAGACACGAGTTCGAGTATATATTTCTCATTTTTGTTGAACCCCCCCCCCCCTATTTGTCCCTGAGAGAATTTCTCAACGCCAATAGGACACACACGCTTTTGAGCGTTGCTTAGCGTGGCCGTGGTGAAATTTATGCGAACGGCTACGTGTTCGATTTTGACTTTGGAGGGAAAAAGGTTAGGGAGGAGCCTCGATCTAGTGACTTCCCTCACCCTTTTCTTCTTCTGGATCTTAAGCTACCTTTCCGTGGTCCTGCTCACGATCTTTTTTGTTTTTTTTTGTTCGCTTTTTTTGCATTTGTTCAAGAGAGATTGATGATTCTGGAAACACACGTGGACGAATGTCATGATTAAACGGCGGATGTTTATGGAAATTCAGAATTTTAGACGTTGATTTTGTAAAATTGCAAATCAGATGGAAATTATGTTTCCGTACTAAATGCCTGTTATGTTGATCGTAATACACAGGGTGAGTCAATATGTTTTATTCTATCATGTTAAAATTTCCTGTAAATCTATAAACACATCAACAGCCTAGCCATGACGCAAATGGGGGACACAGATGGGGGATGATCGGGATTGAATCGAGTTTTCGAGGTTGTGCATTTCCAATTTCGTTTTCTCGCGTCGACCTTCCGGGTGAGTATCGATCTGATGTCTTCTTGGTCGGTTTCGCGGTGTGTAATTCTTTTCTTGAAATAATTCCGCGCCACGGTCCTGGTACAGAAAAAAAGTTTCTTTTTCCGTCTCCCTGCTGTAAACCCCGACGACGCTTAATTCTTTTGTCCTAGCCGCGTGCCTTCCCCGCCTGGTGCGCGCATGTTCCAAGTCCCCCCGCCCCCCGCCGCTTTTGTCGTTGCGCCGAACCCTTCCACTTTTCCGCGAAATTCCTCGCCGAGAATTGTACACGAACTTCGCGACGAAGGGTTTGATACTGAACAATCTGAAACGAATTTCCAGCATGTTCATGTTCGTAATCTTCTTTTTCTTCGATAGTCCTATCGTTCTTAATTCGCGCTACTATCGTGAAATTGGGGGGGGGGGGGGGGTTTATTTTGCTTTAAGGTTTTTTTACCCAAACGTCTGAAAACAAAAGTTACCCCCAATTTACGGTACTCGTTCGAAATTTTCAAGAGATTTATTCCATCCGTGTGCAGAGATTTCTGGTCAAATGGAATTTTTTTTATCCCGAAATAAATTATACAAAGACAGTGTACTGCACCACTGAAGCTGAGCATTTTTAGAAAAAAATATCGTCGGATCGAAATTAAGTGATGCTCCCGATTCTTATTTCTCCTTTATGCCCATTTTTTCCGCGTTCTCCGCTGAAAGCGATTTTTTCGCATTTTCTCTGACAATGTAATTGTGTTCGGCGACAAAAGAAAATGCATGAAAGAATATGAAGCGATTTGAAGACACACTGTTCGGCTGAATCACGTGGAACAGCCTGTATATAATTTTCTGTACAAAAACAAAGTGCCTACGAGCGTTTATTTATTCATGTATTTTGTATAAATTAAATGTATACAAAATATACACATACGTGTGTATTTTTGTTACTATGTTTTTCGCGAAGAAATCGTAAATGAATTTATACGCGTCTATTAAAAAAAAAAATTATTTTTCGAAGCGTCGGCGGAAATCGATGCGTACTAACCCCCGTGAAAACATCAGGTAAAGAGAAATGGATGTATCGATCTCACCCCTAGGGACTTAGTGGGATTAGGACATCACGGTAGCCACCCACGACGAGCCATGAAGCACCATGCAGTAGCGGAAGAAGAAGCTTGTAGCCCTTAGCAACGTGTTGCCACGGAAAATCTATATCTAGGACCTTCGGGTTGTATCTTATCGCGTTTCTCGGATAAGATAATTGCGCCAGATAATGTTCTACATCCCTGCAGTTCTTTTCAACCATTGTTGAACTAATTAACATTCAAACTGATCTACAAAAAATTAAAAAAAAAAAAACTCCAACTACTTTATATTTTAAATTAATTATTCATATAATTTCGTTGATATCATATAGTTCCGACCACGTGACATCTATAATAAAAATCTGTATAATGACTATCTGAATTCTCGATTCCTCTTACGTACTGTTCATCTAATATGGATTATTTTTGGATAACTAGAATCGACTGGAACGGACTATTTATCGGTAACTAGAATCGAACAGATATTTATGCAAACTAAAAGGATTGTATCTGATTGTAAATAGCATAAAAACTTATTAACGAACATCACTAGACTTTCTGTAAGTCCATAAATATCTGTAGTCTACAGATTGTATATCTATTTCTGTCTTGCCAGTCCTATTGTTATGGGGATTGATTTAATAACATTTTCAGCGGGTTCGGGGATTGTATCGATTCGGAGGTGAAAAGAGAGAAAAAAATGTCATACTATACTCGTTCCTGTGGTACCAATCATCCAATGACGCAACGTACCACCCTCAACCTGCACCCTCTGCGTCACACCCATCCTGCTTCCGTATACTACGCGCCCTCAACCCATATCTGTCTCCTAGGTCATTGATCTGGGAGAGTCCTGCTGCAGGATGATCTGCAACAGATTAAATTTTTTATGAAGAACAAAAATTTTTTTGATAGGCATTGAATAAAAAAATATTAATGAATAAAAATTTGTATATTTTTCTTAAACCGAAAAAAAGAGAAAAACACTGCTTCTTAAATACTTCATGTATTTTTTAGGCGCAATAATTTTCTGAAAAAAATAGTAGTGTCAATTAGTCAGCTGTGAATTAATTTACAAGCGACAATATTATTGTCCTGTACATGCGAATAGAAATTAAATTTTATTTTTTTGTAAGTTAAAATTTAAAATTGTTAATTTATACGATCAACAATCTCATCATTGTCAATGTTTTTTATAATAATCTTTCTTATTTTCCATACTTGATAAAGTTTTAACATTATAATAGGTATCCGTAGAAACCACGAGTACTTTTATTCTCCAAATCGCGGGAAGATGGAAGAGGGCACATCGGAAGTAAAGCCAGACGAATCGATCGAAAAAAGACCTCAATTTGGCAATAGAACCCTCTCTAACAATGACAATGTATTTCAACATAATGCGTGGTAGAAATCTGTTACTTCTTAATATTTTATTAGTAAAATTGCGGTGCCTGGGTTTGCATATCTTAACCTAAAAATACAATCGTTTGAACTAAAGATATTGGGTGAATGCAAATTATCTGTTCGTTTTAAGTAATGAAACCAAACAGCTGTATTTCATGTGCTTGCTTATTGTCTACACGGCACATGGAGAAAACATACGATTATAATTTACTATTGTGAATGAAGAACATTTAAAATAGTTCTTATATATTATTCAAAGCCCATAGTATTTTTGCATTCATCTGATTATTTAGCTTTTTCATTTATAAAGAATTAATTCTTTATTATTATTATTTAAAGGGACAATGTTGCATGGAATGAGGAACAAGAGAATTTGGCTCAACAGAAGGTGAATGAAAATTCAACTGTAACTTTATCAGATGAAAAAATCTGGGAATATGAACAAGAAGCTAATAAATATTGGGACAAATTTTATGAGATTCATGAGAATAAGTATGCAGAAAAATATCATACACAGTCAATCATATTGTTCATTTTGATAAATATTTACCCTGGATATTTTCACAAATTCTTTCAGGTTTTTCAAAGACAGACACTGGTTGTTTACTGAATTTCCAGAGCTAGCTGCAACTACTGTAAAACAAAATATGAAGCAACCCTTGAGGTCTGCAACAGAAAGTGAAGATAAAAGCAGCACAGAAACTCATATAAAAATTCTTGAACTTCCTAATCACAGTGGTAGTAAAATTTTGGAAATTGGTTGTGGGGTTGGAAATACTATATTTCCAATACTTTTGTACAACACAGATCCAAATTTGTTTGTCTATTGTTGTGACTTTTCTGCAAAAGCAATAGATATACTGAAGCAAAACCCTGCATATGATGCATCCAGGTGTACAGCATTTGTTCTGGATGCAACACAAGAGAAATGGGAGACACCTTTTGAACCTGAAAGTTTAGATATCATAGTTTTGATATTTGTTCTTTCTGCAATTAATCCTGACAAGTATATGTTTTCCTTGGTTATATTTATATAATTATGTGATCAAAATTGAAAATAAAGTTATAAATTGGAATTTAATTTACAGAATGGAGCATGTTATACAACAAGTGTATAAATATTTAAAACCTGGTGGATTAGTTTTATTTAGGGATTATGGAAGGTATGACTTAGCACAACTGCGATTTAAAAAAGGTAGATGTCTTGCGGACAACTTTTATGCTCGAGGTGATGGAACTAGAGTATATTTTTTTACACAAGGTATTACATTTAACTGTTTATATTAGTAAGAGATTTTAGACTTTCACGGCTTGTCGTCATACTTGACTTGTGACAAAGCTTACTGTAATACTAGCAAAATGTTGGAATAATTGTTTTGAAAGGACACAACTTACATTTGACAGCCCCAGCAGGAAAAGCGGTTGCAAGTTAATAGAGGGAAACAACTTAAAATGTACAGAGTATGGATTCAAGGAAAATACAGAAAATAAATAATTGTACATATTCTATTGTATATATGTGTAATATATATTGTCCCACGTTTCGAATTCTGTAATTATAAAAAAATGATTTATTCTACTACAAACAATAAATTTGTAGTTTTACTTTTTTGAGTACACATTTTTTTTTACCTGGAAAGAATTACAAGAAAAATAAAATTTACCACATTAATGACATTGGCGTTAAAAATCCTTCGAGAAGATGTTGCATTATTTAAAATGATTTATGCAATTCGTATACATTAATAAATTTACCACTTAAGTAGAAAAACAAGTTATTGGCAACACTGCGCCGTTGTTCAGGGTGTAAACATGGCGGTGAGCGTGAGTGTTCTTGTTTAACGCGAGACAAGTCATTTTTCTAATATAATATTGAAACAATTAATTGTAAGCTAATAAAAAGTACATCAACATGGGAAATGCTGACACAAAGTTAAACTTTCGAAAAGCGGTTGTTCAATTGACATCGAAAACACAGGTACAAATTGTTGTTTATTATCGTAATCCACTAGCATATGATATGTTTGACGTTTCAATATACTCGAGTTATACACGGTGTCTCGTAATAAGTGGTATAATCTAAACTGTAAAATAACATTCTTTAGCGTTTTCAATGTTTCAGTGTATTTTTATGCTATGTAATTTGTGTATGTATTCGTTACTGATTTTTGTTAACATTCATAAACATTACTAAATTGTTTATCAAATTTTCTTTTGTTTAAGTAAATTAAATTTCATCTATTACACAATGTGTCTCCTTTTCTTACTGTAGGTGATTGAGGCTGCAGATGACACCTTTTGGGATCAATTTTGGTCTGAAAATGTGACTAATGTTCAAGATATATTTACTTTAATCCCTGCTCCTGAGATTCGTATATTGAGAGAAGAAGCACCATCCAATTTAGCTACATTATGTTACAAGGCTGTTGAAAAATTAGTCAAGGCAGTAGATAACAGCTGTAGAACACAAAGAGAACAGCAGACTGTTCTTAATTGTTGCCGCTTGTTAACAAGATTATTGCCTTATATTTTTGAGGATCCCGATTGGAAGGGATTTTTCTGGTCCAGTTTACCTGGTAAAGAGGATGAAGAAAGTGCTCCATTAGCACATTCTTTATTAAATGCTCTCTGTGTAAGATTATTTATTCATAAAAGTTACGTGGAACCAAATTATTTTGTTTTTCTTTCGGGAGGATACTTCATGTTTCATATTTCTATTTCAGGATTTGTTGTTTTGTCCTGATTTTACAGTAGCACCAAATAGAAAGTCTGGCCCTGTAAGTACTTTCCTCCATTTACATGCCTAAGTAAGCTTCAAAATATTGATTGTGTTTCACTTCTCAGGATAAAGCAGAGGAACTACAATCTATAGATAGTTGTGAATATATCTGGGAATCTGGAGTGGGATTTGCCCACTCGCCGCCAAGATATCCAATTCTGGATTCGAACAGGACTGAGTTATTAAAATTGTTACTCACATGCTTCAGTGAAACCATGTACAATCCCCCCATGGATCTTTCTATTACTCCAAACAGATGGATTCAACATTTAACTAGTGCCGAAAATAGGTGAATTGGGACAGCTTCTATTATGAATTCATTGTACAAGTCAATATACATAAACAAAGTATTCGAAAAAATATTTATATCGATTCTAGGCATGCTTTACCTATGTTCACATCACTATTGAATACAGTGTGTGCATACGATCCTGTTGGACTTGGAGTACCATATAATCATTTATTATTCACTGACTCATTGGAGCCCTTAGTTGATGTTGCATTGCAAATCCTCATAGTAACATTAGATCATGACACAAGTGGTGGTGCTCCATTAGAAGAAGGAACTCTGGGAGACAATTTATTCATTAATTATCTGAGCCGTATCCATAGAGACGAAGGTAAAATTTGTTTCCACATTTGATTAAACAATTACTTAATGCTCATATGTAATGGTGAATGATAACTATTATGGTTTCAGATTTTCAGTTTGTATTAAAGGGTATCACAAGATTATTAAATAATCCATTGATGCAAACGTATCTACCGAACTCAACTAAAAAAGTACACTTTCACCAAGAGTTATTGGTATTCTTTTGGAAGATGTGTGACTATAATAAAAAGTTTTTATATTACGTACTGAAAAGCTCAGACGTCCTCGAAGTATTGGTACCTATACTGTATCATCTAAATGACTCGCGTGCAGATCAATGTGAGCATTCGTCTTCTTGTAAATTACGTACATAAATTTCTGACGAATAAGAATAATAATGGGAACTAATATTGCAGCTCGAGTTGGATTAATGCATATTGGTGTATTCATCTTGCTCCTGTTGAGCGGAGAGCGTAATTTTGGTGTTAGACTAAATAAACCATACACGGCCACAGTACCGATGGATATTCCCGTCTTTACAGGTATTACAATACCAGCTTAATTACTTGAACCTTTAACTAAATTGTTTATAATGCTTGCACAGGTACGCACGCCGACTTATTGGTTACTGTGTTCTACAAGATAATCACAACTGGACACCAAAGATTGCAGCCGCTATTCGACTGTCTATTAACAATTCTAGTCAATGTTTCTCCATACCTTAAAACACTGTCAATGGTGGCTAGTACGAAATTATTGCATTTACTCGAAGCATTTAGTACCCCGTGGTTCTTATTCTCAGCGCCTACTAATCATCATTTGGTATTCTTCCTCCTTGAAATTTTTAATAATATCATTCAGGTAATTTATAGATTTCCCGGAGAAATTCATGTTCCTTGTTTTTTTTATTTGAATAAATCTAATGGAAACGTTATATGTTATTAGTACCAATTCGATGGTAACAGTAACTTGGTGTACACGATAATACGTAAGAGACAAGTGTTCCACGCATTGGCGAATTTACCAAGTGATTGTAATACAATTGCTAAGTCCCTTAGTAAGAGACAACGTCGACATGTGCCTGCTAGTACGTCTAGTGAAAATGTTAACGAAGCTGCTATGGAAGGATCTCATCCTGCTCAACCTGCAGAGCCTGGAACTCTGAAAGCATCTTTATTGGAAACTCCCGGTGAATTTGTATTACTGTGTTAACTGCTTGCGTTGGAATTTAACTAGCGATGACGCGAAAATACTTTTATCGTATGATAGTTGTCGCAGTGGGAGACGTGATTCGAATGCATCGAGTTAAACTGACTAATTCTACGGAAATTTTAATTAATAGAAATATACTTGATAACAGGGATTGAGAAGATGACTGAGAAGGAGTCCGCGCATCCATTGAGTCCTTCAGTGAACGTTGAAGTAGGAAAGTCAATTCATCGGAATAATACAGATAATGCGGACGAGTTAACGGTTTCTACCAAAAGTTCTGTTATACCAGTAAGGCAACAAATTATTACTAGCTAATTAATGATTTCTTTAGTGGAAGGTAATTTCACATTTGTTATTTCAATTAATTTGACAGAAGGGAGGCATCAGAGTCGCAGAACATACGAGTTCCTCCAACAATATAAATCAATGGGTTCCTTCTAGTGATTGGGTGTACCAATGGAAAAGTAAACTACCACTACAAACTATTATGAGATTACTACAGGTTCTTGTACCACAAGTTGAAAAAATATGCATTGATAAGTAAGCAGAACTTGTTTTTTTTTAAACTTTTCGAGGTGAATATTATTGTAATAATGTATATTACGCTTATTGTTTGATTCTTAGGGGTTTAACCGACGAAAGTGAAATTTTAAAGTTTCTGCAACACGGTACCTTAGTTGGTCTGCTACCAGTACCACATCCGATCCTTATTAGGCGGTACCAGGCGAACGCAGGAACAACTGCTTGGTTCCGAACATACATGTGGGGCGTTATATACTTGAGAAATGTTGAGCCACCGATCTGGTATGATACCGACGTAAAGTTGTTTGAAATCCAAAGAGTCTAAATATTGTGCGACCTAGTAAGCGAATCATGATTAATATTAGCACTGGAATTTCTATACTACTCTGTCATACTGTATTGTACCTATAAATATGAAAAAGTACGTGTTACTGATCAATGATTACCATACGTCGCACCGAGGTGATGATAAAGTTTACTATTTTTGTTAGTAATGCAAAACGATTTTTACAAGCATAGCCTTTTTTATGAATCTATTACACAGAGTTACAGAACTGATTTTACAAAGGTTGCTTTCCGAGAAATATAATAAAATTGCATTATCATTCAGTACTGTCAATGATTAGCGTGTAAATATTTACGACTATGTAAGTGCCTTTACAGATGTAAATGTGATTAATCGTGAAACCGAATTCAACAGCATCATTTAATTAATAATTAATTCCTTTTTATACCTAAACTTGCTTGTGTTTGGCTACTTTTAGGGTTGTATTAAGAAGTTTTGACAGTTTGTCACAGTGTCCATGAAGTATAACATTCTGTTCATATTTATTACGAATATATAGATTTGTAAAATACTAGTTTTGTATGTCTGTGTAGTAGCAATTCAATTTTCGTAAGACAATTTTAAATTAACGAGTATCGTGCAATTCAAATACCTTTTATCTCACGGTGACACGAAGATCACTGTACCATTTACAATCACTGAAACAATATAGATTACTCTTTCCAGAGTAGAAAGTAATTTATTATTAACTTTTCGCACTGCATGAAAAGATTTACAGTTACATATCTCCTTGAGTACAGGAAAAGGATATTAATCTGCTCGAATATTGTAAATGCACCAATGATTTTTTTAACTTTTTGCCTTATAACAGATATCAAATTACAGCTAAACCATAGAATTATTGTTGCATTTATGTTGTTTTCCTCGTGTAATATATATTTCCACGTTGTGAACTCTCATTACATTTTATTAATATAATTTCAAGTATTTGTACATATAGTATGTATAGTTTTAAACTGTCCAGACTTTATAAATTTTTAAAATAGAATGGAATTAATTGATAAAGTATTAAACATACAAAAGAAATTAAATATTTGCAACAATATAGCATCCTTTATACCTACATCGATATACTCAATTAATGAATCTTCATTCGAATGCAGTTCTGAATAGTTTTATTTATTTATTTTATTTATGTATTGGTGCAGTTACTTCATTTCTTACATACTTTTAACAAAGTGTGTTATTCTTTTTAAATACGTAAATCTCGTAATGAAATGATATTGAAGCACGTTATCTATACAAAAATAAACACCTACACGTAATTATCGCGTGACAAAGCTATACAAGCATAGTATAGCATAGAAATTTCTAACGAGTTTGGTATACCGAATTGTAATGGTAACGAAATACAGACGCGACACGACACTCGTTTTATTTCAAGCTGTATTTTGATATGCAAATGTGTAGCTTGAAGTGTATTATTAGTCAGAACTATTAAAATGTTCTATACGATGATATATATTATATAAATTTGTTTTAAATACAAAAAAACAAAGTTACTATGTAAGCAATTAGTTTACCTGCGCGTATATACTTTTGGCATTGTCGAATGAAATTGTATACAATCATACATATAAGTTCGGTTTCATGTCATAGCAAAAAATTACCAGAGACTGTGGCAAATATGTATGTGTGCTTGTGCGCCCGGTATGTCTGTACACACTTACCCATACTATGTACATGTGCATAATTAAATATTATAAAATACATACATATAATACGTAATCTACATTTTTACTGGTTGTCATACGATAAAAGTTATTTTATTCGCTTTACAGCACAGCATATTTCAGGGAGCTAGAATGATTAGTTCATACACTAAGCATGACTATAACGTTTGTCTGTTAATGTAAATCTTGCCCAATGTTGTCAAACAATGTTTTTATTCTTCAAACGAAAAAACATATTAACTTAGTGTAAGTTACAATTGCATAACTTGCATCTTTCTGGGCAAAACAGTTCGTTGACCTTACAAAAAAAAAGGAAAAGAACGTTACTTCGCGTGAATATTCTGTCTTGTGTACGGTTTTCCTTCATTAAATAAATCACAAGTAAATAGTCGAGCACAAAAAAGTAAAGTATGTATATATTCCCCCCCTCCTAATTATAATTTGGCTCAGACATTGTATAATGCCCACAATAATGTCTTTCGTGCTTCGTTTTAATCATAGATAGTATCCAAGGATGATGTCACATTACTATTTTGTATCACAGATGTAAAGTTTGCCTATCCTAGGAAATTTGTTGAAGCTTTTACCTACTTGTTTTTTCTTTTTCCTTTAAGTAAATTAAAAGCTCGGTTATGGAACATTTATATGTAATAATTCGACTGCGGACTTCTCGAGTTCGTAGCACACGGCATATAAACATGTAAAACACAGTGAAGCAAAATACATTTAACAAGGATTAATATAGTTTTATACTTTAATCTTCAGATCGACAGATTCCTAAATTAATGAAGTGTATTTTGCTCTTTGATCCTGGCCTTCGTAAAATGATCTAAAGAAATAGAAATTCGCGTAAATATATCTGCAGTCTATTTATATATTAATAGTAATAGATTAATAATGTATCACCAATACTGGTAAGTATGAATGTTTTCATCTTTAAAAAATTTAATACATGAAAAAATAGTCCTATACATTATGACTTAATATCGACTTAGTAATATTAATTCATCGCATGACTTTGTCGTATGATGGGGGCGGAGCTTCCTCCGATGGGTTAGGTGGTGGAATTAAAATGGCAATATGATAGGGCGGCGGTGGATTCTGTCTCACTACAGAAATGGGTCCAATGGTTTCATTGGGCATTGCGTTTGCAGCGGTTACTGAGGCAATGTGCTCCTCTGGGACGTGCTCTTCATGAATATGATGCTCGTGACGATTGTTGCGTTGATTTCGGAGACACAGAATAGAATAGAAACACGTAAACAATGTTAACGTTGACAAGCCCCAGACCACAAATATTTCTATGCCCTGACCCTGTGCAATAAATGCCAGTATTAAGTATAAAACGACTATATACGAAAGAATGTGAAATACATAACGTACTCCACAGGGGGTGTGTAAAAACCCGAAATCACGAGTACACGACACTCGAGTCAGGTCGGGATGAAATTCTTTCATACAAGAATTCATTAATAAGAAAAGTCTAAAGAAGAAACAGATAATTTAGATATACAAAAATGAGAGTTTACGAATTGCGTATAATGGATCCCGATATACCCCGAGCTTAATATTCTCGGATTCTCGTACACCCCTAATATTCATTACTAACTCACTTCATCTCTAAAGTAAAATTTTGCAGCAGCAATGAATCCTGCTGCCAGTACAAAAGTTATCCAGACACCGCATCTTAATCTGTAGCTAGCTAGTTCTGCGTCATTGAATTCTGAGAAATCCAAGAGGCTCCTATTCGTTCCATTTGGAGTAGTATTGGACAATATTAACTGATTATTCCCAGCTGTTGTTACATTACTGTAAACATACAAGTCGGGCCCTTAACGTTACAATTGTTGTCATTGGAATACTCAAAATATTCATATCCTTGTGTACAAAAGATTATAATCAAGGGCGAATCATTTATAAGTACTTTCTCCCAATAGACATGTATAAGTGAGTCACCCTGTATATAAGAAGAACATGTTCCTCAGAATCCTCTTAGTAGACCTTTGTCTTTAATTACTTGGAGATGTTGTTTAGCTGAGTATGTTGAGTAGAGCCAACTGGAAAACTATTTCGACTTTCACTATTACTAGGTCTTATCGTCGTACGTATCAATCTGCAATGATTCACATTGCTAGGACCAGCCACACTTCCTGTAGCATTCAGGTTTTGGAACCGATGAAGTGGAGTCACCATTTGTCTTAAATCCGCATTGTATCGACATTGATCTACAAAATTAATAATTACAAATTGAAACTGCTTCTGTCCAAAGTGATTTAACATAACTTATAAGTTATATTATCTCAAATGAGGACCATACACAGCTAATATAATTCTACCAGTTCTATATTTATTCATATAATACATTTTATTTATTGATATTGACTATGAATTAATTAATTAGTATTCTGTTAACACATTCGAGACCGACGTATGACTACAAAACTATCCCCAGTAGTCGGCAATATTTACGTACAATTTGTACGTGACCCAAATGCTGAGTCATCCGCTAAACGGATGAGATAGTATGACTCATATGCTGGGTCATCGGTCTCAAATGCGTTAACACATTATCAGGCGGTCAACTAAAGTTAGTTGTATGGAAACTACCATAAACAGCTGGTCATCTAAAAAGAGATTTCCCAACTCACGGACCCGACATGAACGTTCTGAAATTTATTCCAAGTATTCAACATTTTACGCGATTATGTTTTGTACATACGTAATACTGTTGTAACATTTTTCCCTAAAATGGAAAGTGATGACGCCGTCTGTAGGCAGCAGTCTGCGCAGAAAGTTGCCGCCCAATAATGTGTTAATATTAATAAATGATAATACCTAACACTGATTGCGTCTGAGCATTAGACATGGATTGACAATTGACAGTGCTGAATATCAATACATACTACGCTCAAATACACAACTAATGACACACAAGTAGTCAGTCTTATTACTCGTGTGAGATCCGCTGAAAGTTTATGTCTAAAAAATTCATGGAGAAAGTTTGAAATACACGGTGGTGGCTAAGTAAAACGAGAAATTTCGAATTATCTTACTGATGCGTGTCTTTGGCAGAGGTGTAGCGGGGTATCGGCGGCCAGTAAAACCGTAGTACCTGCCCGCCGGTTTATTAATCCAGAAATGCATGCTCCGTCCGATCCTTCTCAGAGATCCATCGCTATTCACTGTGTCCTCGAAAAATCAAGAACTTCGAAAAGCCTGACGTATACGGATACGATTAGGGAAACACGTTCATAAGCGCGTTCACAGCGAGTTCACGGACGGTCCTAGCTCAAGTTCCATTTCCCGTACATTTCAAACCGATGCATTGCATCGGCACAATTCTGGTGTTCATCGTTTAAGGAAACAATCAGTAAGAGGATTCGCAACGCTCCGTCACGGTTTTTTGCTCCCAAAAAATCACGTGATGAGCTTTACGGGACGACTTCGATCTTCGATGCGCACCGTATGCAAGGATCTGCATTCAAACAGACGTCAATACGGGGCACCGATAAGCGACTTGAATTCTGCAATTGTCAATTTAAAACCAGGTATACCAACACTTGCGAAATTTATGCGAAGATCTATAGTCAGAGTCAGTAACGTTTCAATAACAGTTCTGTCCCTAGGTCTACGGACGAGTTACTGGAGTTACTGTAGGGTGGCAGGGGCACAGATATATGATAGTAGGATTTAAGTAAAATAAGTATCTAAGGGCACTTTTAAAGAATTTATACAAATATTATTATAAATATATTGTAAAATCATGTATGTAAGTAGTACTTAAGGTAATTGTTGTTAAATTTATAGAAATACTATTGTAAATTGTATATTTTCGTACGATTTTTTCAATAAAAAATAGTCAAATCATACATATGCGTTATTCATTAATCCCGGCACTATCTCCACTCCTATTCCTAATATCAATTAACCAAAAAAGTAATAAGAAATAATAAATACTAACAGTGGAGGCGCCAGAGACCCCGTGTAGTGAGAACGTGGGGTCACAGAACCCCCAGTGGAGGCGCCAAAGATCCCGTGTGGTGAGAACGCGGGGTCATAGAACCCCCCGGCGGAGGCGCCAAAGATCCCGTGTGGTGAGAACGCGGGGTCATAGAACCCCCCGGCGGAGGCGCCAGAGACCCCGTGTGGTGAGAACGCGGGGTCATAGAACCCCTCGGTGGAGGCGCCAGAGACTCCGTGTGGTGAGACGTGGGGTCATGGAACCCCCGGTGGAGGCGCCAGAGACCCCGTGCGGTTAGAACGTGGGGCCATGGAACCCCCGGTGGAGGCGCCAGAGACCCCGTGTGGTGAGAACGTGGGGTATACCATTTAATTTATTTTTTATATTTCAGTTTCGAATGTCCGTCGGTAGGTGTCGCTTCCCAAAGCGTTGCCGAAATTGGCGGGATTGAATTCAACCGCCGTAACACCGTCAAACGAAGAACAACCCGAATTGTAACCGTTAATCGCGAACGTTTTCAGGTGTCGAACAGATAACCAGGGGCCGTTGGTTGGTATTATAACATCGTTTTATTAGATTTAAATTGAAATCGGTTATAAATTATGGTGATGAGTTTGAATACTAGGACTAGGACAAATGGTTCTCGCTGTTCTGCTCTGTATACTCAATTTCATATTGCGTATTAGTTGGTAAAGGGTAAACGCCATCGTTCGAAACCTATTTCTCTCTCTGCATTCGCAGTTATTCGTGCTACGGTTCTCTCGCATCCTCGCTTTCATTAGCACACCCACACACACCGTCGCCCTGTGTGGCTCTCTCGATGACGTTCTGATATATCTGCACCGAACTCGAGCAGTTTACTTGTGCACGGAACACGATAGAAAAGATATTCCTCCCCAAAAAAGCATCAGTCTAATCGTTACGTGGCCACACGTTGCGTAGTGCAATCACAACGTAACCGTGTAATGTATGAAACCGATCCAATCATCACACACACTCGCGGAATTGATGCATTCGGTCGTCTGCACATTTCTACTGCGCAGTACAGGGGTCACGTGACCAGTGGCGTAACATCGACTACGGGAGACCGCCTCTAACCCTGTTTCATTGCATTCCTAAACCGCTCGAGATTGACGCATTTTTATGAATCGGTTACAGACAAGAAACAATCTATGGACCTGTTCCGTGGACAACGGCCCGACACCATCCTGCCGCGACGTACACCCACGAGCAAAACTCGGCTTCCACTAGGGGAAAAAGCGGCGTAAGAGAAAGGCCCCCTACCACTTGGTAAATTTATTTCAAGTACTGAAATAAATCTTAAATCGAATGTTAATTTGGCATAAATTTTAATAATTCCCGATACCAAATTTTAGGAGGTCCTTCTCCTACGTCACTTTTTCCTCTAGCGGAAGCCGAGTTGGCTCGTGGATGTACAAGTAAACCGGAAGGGAATATTCGGCGGCTCTACACGGTTCCCTAAGTTGCCAGCAACTCGTTTTTTTTTTTAAACACCGGTAACCGAACCACTATCCACGGGCACAGCGCGCGTCCGTTGTGGGTAGTCCTCACCAGAAGTGTCTCGTTTCGAGCCACTATTTCGTGACGATCTCGCGCGGTCGCTTCGCGGTAAACATTAACAAATCGTTCCTACTCCGAATATCGTTGTCGTTCATCGACCCTGTATCGGTAAAAATGGCAGTGATTACAGATAGATCGGGAGTCGATCGTTCACGACTGCACGAGCTGAAACGGCCTCGCCATCAAAGACATTCAACTAGGTCGGCGCGAAAGCAATTGGCTCGGCGGATCGTTCCCCCTAGCCACTGTGGTCACTCTTGTAGTGCTCGCTGCTTTTATTCCGATAGTGCTCGTCGGTTTTTTTTTATGACTTTTACTGTCACGTGAAAACGCACCTTTACAGTACTGCTTTTATTTTACTGTCAATCTAAATATAATCTTGGAACCTTTAACGGATAACTTATGTCTCTGTTTAATTCTTCGTATAGAAAAATTCTCCACAAGAATCTGTTTTAATAATGCGTGGTTACAAGAAACTTCGATTCGGAGAAACAAAGCAAAAATTGAAAATCAATATTTTACACGTTACTCGTTGCACCAGTGCTGTCCAACTTGGCTCCCGGGAGGGGCCCCTCGCGCGCCTGCTTCCCCTTCCAAGCGTTCTTTCGCCTTGTGTGCCATCGTACAGACTCCAAACAACCAAGTTGGACAGCACTTTACGCTTTGACTTTCAATAAAACAATGGAACTTCAGAGACCCGTGAAAAGTGGTCGAATTCACTTTCCAAGAAATAAAGAATCTGGAAGTGAGCACTATCTGAATAAATACTGTACACGGTCTCATATCACTCGCATCACTCTCCACCCATCACTACCTTAAATACAGGAATAAAGCGAGCCAATCGTCGGGGGAGGGGCACCTTAATCGTGGGCGTCACAGTAGTGGGAGTGACCCTGGCCGGCCAATCGAGTTCGTTCCCAATTGCGACTAATTATATAAGATACCAGCGCGATACTCGCGCCACTTGGAAGCGACCGCGACGGTATACGGGCCGCATATCGTGTAAAATACCGTCGAAAATCAATTGAACTCACTTGGGGTGGTCTTGAGTAAATCGTGATTTATTTACAAATTAAATAAGTCGAGACACCGACGAGGATTGTCCCAGGGCGTCCGTAAAACAGCGAACGGGAGGCTCGTCAATTACACATGATAAGAATCGGGGGGTCCCGGCTCCACCATCGAACGATTCACGTTCTCAGCGGTATTTCCAGCGATATGCAACAGCATCCGACGATTCCCGCCGCTTTGGAATCGGTAAATCGGATCGGTCGATTCGACTCGAACGTAATTCTCTCTCTCTCGTTTTTCTCTCATTGAGCACACACGCACACGCCTTAAGGTAACACTAATCGGGCCATGATATAATATGGAGAAGAGGATGATTCTGGTGCTTCTTCGCGCGTCTGATCGATCGTCCTTCAAACCCAGCGTTCTACAGAGTTTCACGTTAAAAGATCGCCGTTTGTCGGTTACGAGTTTTTTTTTTACGTAAAAGATAGGTCCAAGAGATCCTGCTTTTGTTTCTCGAGAGCAGTTTCGTATAAGGGTTCCTTTGGCAACAGTCACGATTCGTACTATCTTGTCTAGAAAAATGAAAAACGCGTGGAAGGAACCGCTATACGTTCTGTACGAGTGCGCGCGACACTACGGCGACCTCTCCAGTGGTTTTCATTCAGAAAACACTGTCCGTTCATTCGTACTTTCGATTTTTCGGGTCTAGTTCGTGGGGTTAAATCCTGCGGGATAGGACTGGGGCGGGACACGTTGGCTGTTCAGGCTCACAGAGGCACTATCCCCTCCCACGAGTGTCTTTGCTCCGCCCACGAGTCTCTTTGCTCCGCCCACTGGGCCCCGAAGTAGAGAGGGCATAGGTCCGCGATGTGAAAGTGAGAGGCGTGGCACGACTCCTGGTGGGGGAAGCGACCCTGAGGAGCCAACGTTACCAGCATAGAGTCTAGTGATCCTTGCGAATACAACTCAGGGCCAATCAAACCCTTCCATATATTTTTCTGGAATAACGATCGATCCTGCGACGATATCGCCGGCGAAGAAGCAACGATATCGAAAGGAAGATAAAGGTTCATGAAACAATGATCATGGAAGGAGAAAATGGCGCGGGTGGGCGGGGCGAACAGAGGAAAGCCAATGGGTGATGATTACGCGACGACAACCGGACGGTGGGTTGATAACGACAACAACGACGATGACAACGACAACGTCCGACTATAATAATATTAATAATAATACGATAGAATAATTAATAATAATAATAATCCTTATCGTTATACCAATGACGATTATCTCAACGATTTAAACTCAAGGTGTGAAGGTAATTCTGTTAGTGATAAGTGTATTATTATCCGTTTTAGTATAACGTATGTATGTATATAGTCCGTACATGGGTTATACGTACATACAATGTATAGTAAATTGGTGGGATACCCACACACACACACACACACACACACACACACGGTCTAATGTTCCAAAACGAAAAAATAGATCACGGTGGACGATAGAGGATTTTGGCGTGTGATAACCGCGAATGGAAATGAAAGATCTTGGCTCTGCGTATCCGGTGTGTGCTCTAACCTCACATTCACCTCTGCCCAATGTGCATACGCACATTACATGTACACGTATATGTGTATACACACACGCCTATCTGTATACATATACGTAGATACGCATGCATACTTATGTATATATACATGTATACAGCGAGGGAGAAAAG